TAACAACATTAATAGTTTCTTAATTTGTGTGCATATAGTTAAAACGACAACTATTCGAAAACGGAGGGAGTATTTTTTACATTTTTATTCATAAGTTGTTATAACTTTAAGACATAGTTAATTTTATGTAATAATTCAAATTTTTGAATATATTATTATAATAATTTAATATATAAACACAATCAATTATATTTGTTGAAAATGAGTTCTCCGCGATGTCGCGGGGTTCATAACCTAGTTAGTATAATAGCATCATTGTAGGCATAACCCATTCTGTATAGGCCCAAATTGAAACAAAGCCCAACAAGAAGGAAGTCTCGTGCTTCTTTCTCGAATAAAACCCTAGAGATTCCCTCTCTTCCCAATTCCACCACTCAATTCTCCGGCGTATTCAAGTCGCCGGCGAAAATGTCGATGTCGAAGAGCTCCAAGATGCTTCAGTTCATAAACTACAGGATGCGAGTAACGATCCAAGATCAGTTGTTATTTATAGGGGAAGAAATGAGCTATGGTGGTACTAATTGTATTTGTCTCCATAAAACGTCTTTCAAATGTACCACAATTTTAGAAAATCCTAGCAAATGTACCACATTGCAAATCAATTTAGCATCCATACCACTTTTGGTATTTGTGTGGTAGAAGTTGGACGATTTTACCCTTCTGCCTGCGTCAGGAATGTGTCAGGGGAAGAAGCTACAGTGAGACGCCGGTTGGGAAACGGGGAGCGACTGTATTAAATGGATGTCTCCAGATCTTGTCCCCGATTGAAAATTCTCTATTGCGTCTATATATTGTCCTCGATTTCATCAGCTTGCTCTATTATCATGAATCTCAGATGATATGGTTTTACCAGCCTGCAGAGATCTGGATTTACTCGGGGACAACATCTCTTAATTATCCATCGCCAGATGATGTGGTTTTACCAGCCAGACATCTGGATTAACTCGGGGACAACTTGATCTTTATTTTATTCTGCCAGAGAGCCGAAGACGAAGATCTGGATTTACTCGGGGACAACTTTGTTTTACCAGCCAGAGGGACGAAAACGGCTACCAATGCGCCAGGAGAGAGAAAAAGGATGGCAAAAATTTCGGAATGTCACATCAATCATAGTTTCTTATCTCACCAGTTGGAGGGTAAAATGGTCATTTTACAAACACAAGGTGGTATGAATGATAATTGGAATTCAAATGTGGTAGAAGTGAAAAAGTGGTACCCAATCTAATTTTTCCTTCTTATTTTCTTATTGAATGAGAAGTTACTAAAATTAAAAGAGAGTTCACAGCCACCTTGATGAGACAATTGACATTAATAAGAAAATATTAACTATTTAGGCTATTGATGACAAAGGAAATGATATAAATATATAACCGGAATAGGTGAGAGTTTAGTTTAATCCAATAAATCCGGTTAATATTAATCCTTCTGTTTTGATTAGATTTTTTGTTCGTTCCTCCTTCTAAGTTTCAAGCAAAAATGCTCTTTTGATTAGAAGACAATAATATTTTAAAATAATTTCATAGTTTCAACGCACGATTTTTTAAAAGAAAAAAGAATACTAAATTTTTCGATCTCTTACAAAAAAAAATCATTAAAAGTTTTTGCAAAGAAAAATAATAAATTTTTAAATTATTTACATATAAACTAATCTAAGAAATGGTGAAATGTTTTTTTTAATAACAAAAATTACCAAATTAGTATAATAGCATCATTGTAGGCAATACACCAATACACCTATGTATGGCGTAACCCAATCTGCATAGGCCCAAATTGAAACAAAGCCCAACAAGAAGGAAGTCTCGTGCTTCTTTCTCAAATAAAACCCTAGAGATTCCCTCTCTTCCCAATTCCACCGCTCAATTCTCCGGCGTATTCAAGTCGCCGGCGAAAATGTCGATGTCGAAGAGCTCCAAGATGCTTCAGTTCATAAACTACAGGATGCGAGTAACGATCCAAGACGGACGTCAGCTAATCGGAAAATTCATGGCGTTCGATCGTCACATGAATCTCGTTCTCGGCGACTGCGAAGAGTTTCGAAAACTTCCTCCGGCGAAAGGTAGTAAGAAGACGAAAGAAGATAGAGAAGAGCGTCGTACGCTTGGTTTGGTTTTACTTAGAGGAGAAGAAGTGATTTCAATGACTGTCGAAGGTCCACCACCACCGGAAGAATCTCGCGCCAAATCAGGATCTGTAACCGCCGTTGCTGGTCCCGGAATCGGTCGTGCTGCTGGACGTGGTGTACCTACTGGTCCATTGGTTCAAGCTCAGCCTGGATTATCTGGTCCTGTTCGTGGAATTGGTGGACCTGCTCCGGGAATGATGCAGCCTCAGATCTCTAGACCACCGCAGATTATTCGTCCGCCAGGACAAATGCCGCCACCGCCTCCGTCTGGTTTTACTGGTCAAGGAGGTCCTCCTCCACCTTATGGTATGAGACCACCGTATCCTGGTCCACCACCGCCTCAATATGGTGGACAAAGGCCAATGATGATTCCTCCGCCTGGTGGTATGATGAGAGGACCTCCTCCACCTCATGGGATGCAAGGACCTCCTCCGCCTCGCCCTGGAATGCCTCCACCGCCTGGTGGTGCTCCGATGTTTGCTCCGCCTCGTCCTGGCATGCCGCCTCCTCCGCCAAATCATCATAATCAGCAACATTGATTAGGTTCACGCTTTCACTGAGTTTTTTGAAGGATACTTGTTTGATTGATGTTGAAAATTCTACCTGATTAGCCTTTATAGTTTATCTGGAATTTCTAGTCTACTTGGCCATGTGTGGTTTGATTGAAAGTGAACTCGTCTTGATTAGCTTGTCCATGTTTAGTGACTGAATTCCATAACTAAGCTTGCTAAGTTTCTAGGTTGTTGATGAGTGCCTTGTTGTCAGTTGCTTTTCTTCTTGTGTTTCCTTGAGAGTATGGTCACTTTAAAAGCTTTGTTACTATCTTTAATTAAAGATTTGTAGAATCATCACATTGTGAATCCTGTAACTTACACACATAAACGCTCTTGCATGTTGTTTCCTTATTGCATTCCTAGAGGCATGAAAAACTCACACTTGGTTACGAAATTGATGAAATGCTCAGTTCACTTTTAATAATGTTTAGAATCTTTCCAACTAGTAGAACATCTATGATCCATGTTTAAGGTTCGTTCTTGAATTTTGGTTTTGGAAAGCTGTAGGGTTCATTAGCTATATCGGTAAAACTTGTGGATACATTTTGCCCTTGCTCTCTGTTGGCATATGAGCTTGGATATAATATTATTTATCTCTGTTTGAAAGATCTGCTAAGTACAATTTTCTCGATCTGGATTGTAGGAGTCACTTCATCTACTACGGAAGCCACATCCACATGATTGAGTTACCCCCTCGGCTAGTCATAGCGTTTTTCTCCCTGGAGCTCAGAGGATCGATGAGTTCATATTGGTGTTTTCTGTGGAAAAAGCAACTGATTTTAGAAATAGTGAACTTGTAGAAGTTACTGTCTTGCTCTATGAACTTGAGTGTATTACTTGTAATAGAGGCTCTCAATGGTTGACTGGCAATTTGGTTCTCGACATTTTAGGCTATGTTGTCGGTTATGTACGTAACAAATAACTTACAGCAGAGTCTCACACTGGTTCATACACCCACCATCCACTACACTTTTCGGCAAGTTAACACTCCTTACTTCAGTTTCTCCTGCAATCACCAAAGATGATCTGTAATGTCAAAAGCAGTGTACGGATTTGTGATACTGACAAACTAACATGTGAAACCCGACCGCTTGGTCTAAAACTTCTGTAGTAACAAACCGTTTTTTATTATGAGTTCATGTTCAACAACCCCATCGATCTTATCCAGGCTTACCCACATTAGCTATGGAATTTTGCTCGAATAATCAAACATTGAGCAATGTGCAGTTTCACTATGCAGAATGGAAAAGTCCCTCCTAAAGGGCTTGCAACTCCTACAAAATAAAATGACTCTCCATGCGATCGATTTAACCAAAACCCCGAGAAATTGATTTTGAAAGAACCAATTTCTCACCTCTGCCTCGCCTAAATACAAATCATCTTCCGCTTCAGCCATGGCAAACAAAATAAGACTGGAAAAAAAAAAGTTTTTAGAAGTCATTTTCAAAATTGATGTTTTTGAGTCGTACTGGTCCGGCAACTTAGATTTACAAGATCTTTTATTTCGATATGGTTGTTCTCCAGACAATATCATTTCTTAATACAATACAGTCAAGGATTGCTCAATGTTAAATTATACATATTCCCAACATCACATGTATAGTGATGATAATCCTACTAGAAAACACCACACAGAATGCACACCAAACTTGTCAAATTGACCAAATTTTAAAAGAAAATGTCTCATCATATAGCATTAAGAAATTCCAGCTCTTGTCATGCCACTTTCATTCTCTAGTTGGCTCCCCCGCCTAACTTCAGTCTAGTGTTTGTCTCCGATCTCAATGACTGCAAAATAACAGCCTCCACTGCTTACCACTGAAGCTCATGGACATAAAGGGAGTTGGATTAGCCCGCATTCTCTTACCGCACACTTGTAGCGGTCGACTCTGAACTCCACAACGAACTCACTGGAAGTCACCACTAGTTCAAATTCAAATGTATACAGATTCTCCATTAAAAGTGGACCTTGAAGATGGCTGCTTGGTGTGTACAGAACAATGTAGCCATTTGGTTCTCGAGAAGTTACTATATTCATCCCCCAATGTGGCCATTTGTTTTGACCCTCAACTAGCAAGAGGCAAGCTTTAAATCTCAAAGATTTAAGAAGATACCTCTCGTTCAACTTCACTGTTAGAGAATCACCAGTAGCTCGGTAAGTGAAGTATGCAGGCACTTTTCCACCTGGTAATATCGCATTTCTACAAGTAGATGTCTGGATGATGAGATCTCTTGCTTCTTGATTCAGTTTGAAGCAGTTAGCGAAGTTGAGAACAATCTTCGGATTTTGAAAGGAGCAGTCTAGTCTCTCCACCAGAGACTCACAATCTCCTGCATCAAGGATTAGGGAATCTGGAACCACCGGGTGCGAGACAAGTTTTCTGCATTGGTTGAGTTCCAATTTAATATTGAGCCCTACCAAACTAGAACAACTACTGACATCTAAGTATGAGAGATTAGTGGCATTCCAGATGGAGGAAGGGAGCTCCACCATACTTGAACAATTCATAAGAGACAAACTTTGGAGATTAATGGCATTCCCAACCAAGGAAGGGAGCTCTTTTAGACTTGAGCATCCGTTAAGATACAATGATTGGAGATTAGTGATATTCCAAATAGATGAGGGGAGCTCCAGTAGATCTGAGCATCCATTAAGATACAATGTCTGGAGATTAGTGGCGTTCTCAATAGAGAAGGGGAGTTCCACCAGACTTGAGCATCCACTGAGAAACAATGTTTGGAGATTAATAACATTCCCAATAGAAGGGAGCTTCACCAGACTTGAGCATCCACTGAGATTCAAATCTTTGAGACGAGTTAACTTTAAAATAGAAGAGGGGAATTCAATCAAACTCGAACAATTCATTAGTTGCAATTCCCTGAGATTAGCGATATTTCCAACAGAGGAAGGGAGTTCCACCAGACTTGAACATCCATCAGCATATAATTTCTTGAGGTTAGTGGTATTCCCGATGGAAGAGGGAATCTCCAACAGACTCGAACAACCACTGAGATTTAACTCCTTGAGACTAGTGACATTCCCAATAGAGGAGGGGAGTTGCACCAAACTCGAACATCTATTGAGATACAACTTTTTAAGATTCGTGAGATTCCCAATAGAGGAGGGGAGTTTCACCAGACTAGAGCAACCAATAAGATCCAATTCCAGTAAATTAGTGACATTCCCGATGGAAGAGGGGAGCTCCACCAAGCTTAAACAATCTACGAGTCTCAATTCTTGGAGATTAGTGGCAGTAGAGAAATCAGGAAGCTCCTTCAGATTTACACAAAAACTCAAATCCATCCATTTGAGATTTCTAATGGGCTGTACAGAAAAAAATAAAGGCAGCATGAATACATTTTGAACATAGAGTAAAGATCATATGGCCGCAAACACACACATATACACTTTTCAACTAATTGGATAATAATAACAATGACTTACTTCATTTCCTTCCCACAACTTCTCAAGCATGCTGTCTCGCATGTTTATTTTGACAAGGAACTCAGGATTAAACTTGGAAGGCAAACATGTCAGTGGATAACGTTCCCAATGTAGTAATCTAAGTTTTCGAGATATATTGCTCAAACCTTGCGGTAAGTACAATATGTCGTGACATCGATCACCATATGGGTGGTGGAATCTTAAGAACTGGAGATTGCACATTCTTTCAAAGGCTCTTTCACTTATATTTATTACGCCCTCGATTACACCAGATAACTCGAGATCAATGCCTACAAGAGTTCTGGTACCCTGAAACGATCCAAAGAAATAAGCGTAGAGATGGTTTATTGTCAAATAAATACAATTCGTACAGACTAAGACAATGAAGGACATATTTTAAAACTTACTGTATCCTCGGTGAGTACTTCACAAATATCTTCAGCATCAACCAAAAACTGACGTTTCCCAGGCTTATGAATGGATTGTTTACGAATAATGTCTAGACCTAGTTGTACTAGCAAATTATGCATCTCTATATTTCCGAAGTTCAAAGATAAGAGAGATTTATCGGCTAAGATTTGGAGCCCTTGCTTCACATCCCCAAACTTATTTGCAAGAAACACTTCCAAAGTCTCAATCCTTTCCCTCCTGAAAAAACAGGCTATGTGAAGAAATAAATCTTTTTCTTCTTCAGCTAGGGAGTTGTAACTGAACTTCAAAACGCTCTCAATATCATCGTCAAGGCTGGTTCTTAACCTTGGTATTGATCTCGCCCACTCCTGCTTCGACATTCGCCGTAAATAGGATCCCATAACCCTTAGTCCTAACGGGAGTTTACCAGCAAGTGTTGTAACCGTCCGAGCAATCTGCTCAAAACCAACTTTAGGGGACTTCTGACCAAAAGCATACATGCAGAATATTTCTAGAGCCTCATCAGAAGTTGGAAAATCAACCTTGTAAATATACTTGATCCCATGAGCTTTTAAAAGTTTTAGATCTTGTGTTACGACGATAATGCGACTTCCAAGGCCAAACCATCGTACATCTTTCGCCATGGCATCAAGTTGTACTAGCGCATCGACGTCATCAAGAACTAGAAGAACTTTCCTGTCCTTCAACCTCTCTTGGGCAACCCCTAAATGAGGAACCACCATATCTTTCTGGTTAATCATCTGAGACAACAATTCTTTCTGTAATTGCAGTTTTGCGCTGTACTCATCGTGACAAGGTCTTGGATAACGTACTTTAATGTTGTCAATGATTGCGCCCAGTTGGAATTGATGAAAGAGTTTGTTATATAGAACCCTGGAGATGGTAGTCTTGCCAATTCCAGCAGGACCCCAAATCCCTATCATTCTCACTTCTTCCAGATCAAGTTGTAACAACGAAGTTATCTCTGTCGTATGAGCTTCAATGCCAACAAACTCATCAAAATCCTTTGATGGTGTAAAACTCAACACATCGGAGACATCTTTTGCGATTTTAATGATCATATCTGCTTCATTTTCCCTGAAAGTAACAATATTTATCAAACTTACAAATATTTATTTGGATTTCATATACTCGTACATATATACAAGAAAAGTATGACACGAATTATGCATTAGAGAGGAAAGACTACCAGTTGCGAGAATCCTCCCCGAGTATATTTGCAGCACTGGTCAAAGCTTGCTTCCATTTCTGCTTCACCTCCTCTGGTCTTCCAACACAAGTTTTTCTAAAAACCTTCCCAAAATCTCCCTTCTGCTTCCTCACATCAGATGGATCCACATCATAAAAAACGGTCATCACTGTTTGACCCAACTCTTCTCTGCATTTCATAATCTCCACCAATTCATCAAGACACCACTTCGAAGAACCATAGTTCCTCGAGAGCAAGATGATCGCGATCTTAGATCCTCTAATTGCCTGTAAGAGCTCAGGACCAATGGATCCTCCTCTCTTCATCTCATTATCAATGAATGGTGTGATACCCATTCTTTGAAACTCCTTCTGAATGTGACTGAGAAAGCCTTTGCGGACATCTTCCCCACGGAAACTCAAGAAGACAGGGTGCAACCAATTTTGAGACAAAGAAGAAGGGGGAGATGAAGGAGGTAGAGAAGAAGGAATATTTTTATTTCTTTTACGAAATCTGAATATTCTATAAACCAAGAAACATGAAGAATCCATTAGTATGATAGAAAGTCGATCAAGATCACAACGCTTTTTTCAGAGCTATGAGGAGGAAGAATTAACAAAGAAGCTTTGCACATGTTGACACTTGACTTTATTAAAAGAGAATGTTGACATTAGCAAAAGAGGAAGGTTCATGGATGTTTCCTACCACCAAATATAATTATTTAATGATATTTTCATGGAAAATTTGTGGTAAACTACATCACTGACCCCGTAAATAGGCTCTGATATAATCTTAAGACTTCCAACGTATAACATAACGACTGAATTCTATAATGAGTACAATCAATATATACCTCTATATTCCTTGATTGTTGTTTGGAATGAACTGATTATAGAAAAAGAACTTGTAGAAGTTACGGCATTGCTCTTTGAACTGATTAGGTAATGTGTGAAACGAACTACTTCTGCAAAGTCTATCCATAGGTTCATACACCACCCTCCACTGCACTGGTCTGCAAGGTAACACTTCTTACTTCAGTTTCTTCTGCGATCATCACCGTGCATCTGCAATGCCAAAAGCGGAAAACAGATTCTTACTGTTGACCAGTGACATACTAAAGCTGACTGCTTAATTTGGAGAAACTAACCGAGTTTTGATAATTAGTCCATGGTCCACAACCCCATCAATCTTATCCAGGCTTGTAGCCACGTCAGCTGCAGAATTTCGCATTCATCAACTACAGAGACCATTGCATAAGTTTTAATGGTTACAGTGTTAGCTTTTACCGAGGCTTGGAATTGGAGTTGTAAATATAACATCAAGAATGTTGTGACCATCACTGGTAACTATAGGAAAGTCTCCTCCAAGAGGGCCTGCATTTTCTACAGAAGCTCTTCTCCACACCTTTTCCACCGAGCAAAATACAATGAATCAAACGAGAGTTGAAACAATCGATAAAACCAAAACCAGCATATATGAAAGAACCAGATACGAACCTCTGCATCACCTAAATACAAGTCATCTATCTCCTCAGCTATGGCCAACCAATTAAGCTGCAATCAAAGTTTCAAACAATCATTCTGATTTTCGAGTTTTAAATCATATTACCAAGGGATTAAAAAGAAGTTCATCGGTAGAAATTTGCTTACGGATTGAACTAAAACAGGAACAGAACCTTCAAGGCCGGCTTTGTATTGTTCTTCCTTTATCATGAAGACTGCCTCATCAGCTGCTTTTACAATAGACTGCATTGTTAATCTCTCTTTGTCAGCCCAAAGCTAAGCAATGAGTATTCAAAGACAGCAAAATTTACACGAAACTGCACTCGCCTTTTGTTTCAGAATATAATCATCTTCCTGTGAAATTCTCCGTCGTCCAATAACTGCAATAAGTGTATTCTCTTCTACAGCATCAGCATCATGAAATGCAAAATCAATCTACAAAGGAACCACACTGCAAATATTACCCCAAGATGCAGAATAGATCAACCCGCTTTAGAAAACGCACGAAAGCGGCTACCTGAAAACCATCCCGGAAATATTCCAAAGGGATTCCAGACTTTGCTGCTTCACTCGCGCTTCGTGCAGACCTGAACAAAAGTGAGAACAAATCATCAAGAAGCCTACAAAAAATAAACTCGTAGGAAAATCATGAATTGAGAGAATAGAGAGAGAGAGATCAACAACTGAACAAACAAAAAGATTGATTCTTTATTGGATTCAAAGAAGATAAACAGCAGAACCGAAATCAAAAGACTCACATTGGTACACACACAACAGAATCATGATCCAGAAACTAATGAACAGAGAGATCAAAATAGAACGAACAAAAAGATTTATTCTTTATTGGATTAAAAGTAAATAAACATCAGAATCAGAATCAAAAGACTCACATTGGTACACCAACAACATTTTGTAAAGAACCAGAACGAAGTTGATGACCCAAATAACGTATAGCCATATCTGAAGCTTCTCCAGATCCTAAACCAATAATCATCCCACTCTTTACATATTTATCCACCTGAAAAAGTTTTGTAATCAAGTTTCAATCTTTCTTCAATTTTTATGAATTTCAACACAATTCAAACAAACCCATTTGAAATTGGGTTTCAAAGAACAAGCTTTTTAACCCTTACGGTGTGGTGAGCTGCTCGGAGAAGAGGAGAAACCTCCGGAGAAAGACTGGCGGTTACTGGAGGTACTGAAAAACGTTTGAAATTACGACGGCGCGTGAAAAGCACGGACGACGAGAGTGAAACTGGAGTCGATGCTGTCGCAATTACCATTTTTTTTTGGTTAGAACGATTTGAGTCACCGAGTTGTGACTGGTGACTCGGTGGTTTTTGCCGCTCCTATTATCCCCCGATCAATTTCGTGGTGCGTGTGGAGTATGAACTACGACGATATTACACGACCATTTTTTTTTTTTTTTTTTGAGAGATTACAAAAATAGACTAAATTTGTATATACAAAATATTTATGTTTATATAAATTAATAATTTAAAACCAACACCTAAATTCTAAGTTCTAAAAATTAAATTTTGAATTCTAAAAAACTTAATTTTAAATTCTAGCTATATAACTTCTAAGTTTTTATTTTTGTCAGTCTTTGAGCTAATCTCATCTTGATGATATTAACCTACATACTACATATGTAATTAAGATAAACAGCTTTTACAAATAATGATTTTAAGATACAGTTCTCTCCACAACATTCGGATCCACAATGGACGGTTATGCATGTATTACATACCTTGATGATTATGTTTTTCTCAAACGATTCTACACAGCCCCGGCCCAAAGAAAATGGAGACCTTTGGGCAAAAAAAATTTTTTGGGCCTTTTAGCATTATATATTTTTTTTTCTATTTTAAAATATTTTTTGGTATTTATTACTATAAAAACAAATTATTTTCAAAATTTTGGGCTTTTTCATTGTTTTTTTATAAAAAATCTGGGCCTTTTATATCTGATTTTGGGTTATATTAATTTTTTGAAATAAATATGGGCCTTTTTTCGGAAGTATTTTTGAGTGAAAAAAAAAAAGCTTTAGACGGTCGCACCCCTGCCCACCCCCTTTGAGCCGGGCCTGATTCTACATATACATGTGTAAGCTTATTCAGAATACAAGTACAATTAAATTATAATTAATAATAATAGTAATGATAATAATAATAAGGTACCTTGTAAAAGATGCATCCGGTTAATGAAAAGATCTATCCGACTTTGGAAAATCTCTCTTTTCTTTTTTCCATTTGGCCTATGTCTCTTTATCAGCATATGATTTACTTGGAAGATCATTCATGATTCACCATGAACCATGAAGAGCTCCCACTCTTTTAATAGTCTCTAGATCAAGTTTAACCTTTGCATTCACGAGTTTTTTTGCCAGATTTGGTCATCATTGTTACCTTTTTATTGATCTTTAATCTTCTCATTAGAAGAAGAAAGAGAATGCATTTGTAAAAACAAAAAGCTTGCTTTTCCTCTATGTCCCGATTATCAAGACCCTCCTTCTGCCCACTTTCTCCGGCGCCGGCAAAGCCTTTATTTGCCGGCGTCGAGACCCCTGGTTCACCGCTTTCCTTTGCTTCCCTAAGATCTCTGTTTCTCTTCGCTTTTGGCCACTTACTCAATCATCCCAACCTTTCCCCCTTAACTCCATGTCTGACAGCGGTAGTTTTGGTGCTAGAGCTGTTAGGCGGTTCCCGGCGACCCTCCTCCCTAGTCAATCTCTGCCCACGATTTCTCCATGGAATCTTAACCTCGAGGAGCCATCTCTTACCAGCGGTACTTCATCCTTCAAAGCTGAGACGGTTTGCTCCCGTTTGCTCAGACCTCACGAGTTTGGCTCTCTCTTGACCTCCATTGCTGCCCTTTCCCACCAGAAATAGCCACCGATGAAGAACGGCGGCGGTAACCTAATTTCTATGGATGTCCCTCGTTTGGACCATCTTTTTCGCCAGCTGGGCTTAGGCCCATTTCACATTTCTTCGAGGCCCAACTTCATAAGGTGTATTCCACTTTTACCTTTGCAAAAACCCAGGTTTGGTCTAAACATTCTTTTGTCCCTTCTTAGCAAATTTTTGTGTCGATTCAAGGAACCAATTGTTAGAGGACGTCGATTGGAAGCTAATCAAACATCATTGCTATTTTGGTACAAATTTTATCTGAGAACCTGGCCTTTAGATTCACCTAGGGGTATTACTCATGATTTCCAAAGCTTGAAGAATACTTTGTCTGATAGCTTCCTTTATCGAGGCCTGCTAGAAAAGTTGAGGAAGAACGGCATTATGATCCCGTCTCCAAGGAGCGGTGGTTACCGCATCTTTCTCAACCCTTTATCTCTGTATCCCCTGTTTACCGAGCTCATTCATGTACAAATTATCAACTTTAGGGATTACTTCCATACGCTCAATGCTTTGAAGCTTAGGTCTGGTTACTTTCTTTATGTGTTAAGCCGACTACAAGCTTTGTGTGGAATTCTTAATCTCCATGGAATAGCCCATGTGAGAGAGGATCCACCTGTTCTGTTACGGCTTTACACTCATATTTTGCGAACCCTGGTTTTAGCTTCCTCTGGTATCTTAAAGGACCATGGTCTAATGCTCTTAAACCCTCCCTGCGGGATCTTTGATGGTGGTGTTGGAAGCTTTTCCAATGACCACTCGTCATCAAGCTCTTCTGGCGTCTTCAAGCTATATGTTTTCAATACCACCTCGTTTTGCTATGTTTAGTCTAAGCTCAACTCTCACTCCACAACAATTCTAGCAAGCAACGTCAACCACCAGAGCACCATCACCTTTGCTCGAACCTTTGTCAAAGCACTACTTTGTGTAGTTCTTCTCGTGCCGGCGAGATTCAAGTCTTTGGCCCCTTCACCAACGCCATCTCGTCTCTTGACAGTGGCAATTTGTTCATCCATTGACTCGTTCTTGGAAGAATTGTCGATAAACTTTGACCTCACATGTACCAAAAAGCTTTTTAGCTTTTGGCTCAAAGCTCTCAAGGATCCTTTGTCGATTAACCTTATCTATCATTTTATCTTTCTTATGGTAACTTTGGGGTATGCCCCTTATTATTGTGCTTTAAACTTTGGGATATCAGATCCCTTCTATCTCTGTATTTGGCTTCTACTCTAATGGAATGAAAACAAATCTTTGTCCAAAAAAAAAAAAAAAAATCTTCTCATTTTTTTTTATTTGTTTAGCAATATCCATAGTTTTTTTATGGGTCGTTCTAGAAGTACAAAACTAGCCGATTGCGTTAGTCGGTTAGTGTATCTGCAAAAAAATATACAAACGATAAAATATAGATATGACATAACAAAAAATATATTAAATAAATATATGATAAAAACATTTTTAAGCAATGTCATAAAAAAAAATACAAATAAAACTTGATTACCTTCAATTTGCAAAAGAATATCTGCTAGAGATAAGAGACCGTGATTTTTCATCTAATAACTTATTTGTTGGTTTAAATGCTCTACAATATTCTTAGTATTTTTATTATTTCGATTTGATGCTACACAACTAACATGTCTCATGAGTATGTCTGCAAAAGAATAAAAAATACATAAATGATACCATAGGTATAAGCATAAATAATCTCTGACTTAAAAGATAAACAAACAAAAAATTTGATTACCTTCAATCAGCAAAGAAACATCTGCTTAAGAGTCCTTTAATTTTTTGATGACATACTATTAACGAAGGGATTTCTTCTTGTTGTTCAGAAGACAAAACAATTCTAGCCCATCTGACCACATATTTCCTATGTTAGATCTTCTTAATTGCTTTTTACACATATTCATAGGAAGTACTAAACAATGGAAATGAAATCTATGTAGTGTGATCATCATCCTTTTTCTCCCTTTCGGAAATTTTGGTCCAGAGTTTTTGTTGAATTCAAGACAACTTTGAATAATTTCTTGTTTAAAGTTCAAAGTTCGAGCAACGTTTATTTTGCTTCATTGGTCGCAAACAACTTCAAAGAGTTCTAATATTGTGGTTTAGCCCTAAATCTTACAATTTATCAACATGTTGTAGTCTAAGCCGGCTCTAAGTATAACAAGGCTACAAGCAAGAAGAAAAAAGGGCCTATGTTATTTTTATTTATTTCAGTGTTTTGTTGGAAAAAAAAAAAATGTTTTGACCTCATTCATGATTCAAACCCTTGAATTCTTAATGAGTCTTCACCATAATGAACCACTAGATTAAAGGAAGTTTAACTAATTAGAGGCCGAAATCAAATCATATTATTATCGGGCCGCAAGCCTATGCTTCATATGCATGTGGCAAGGGCCGGCTCTGGTTGTAGTGTTTATATTGTTCATTTTTTCTATAGCTTCATTGATATACTTACGGGTTTACATTCTAACAACAACAAAATGTCAAAAGTGCACATACATACTTAAATTTATATATATATATATATATATATATATATATATATATATATATATATATATTTTTAATGTATATACTTTTATTTTTTATTAATATATTTATTCAACAAATACCTAATAAATAATAATTATCTTATTTAGAGAATATATGATGTAAGTGTTGTAGCATCAGTTGAAGAACTGTTCTTAGATATTATAAGCTTTAATATTATTTTAATAACTAAGAACTATCTTCTTGTTTTACCGTTGCATATGCCCTAATGATTTGGTATGAGTTACTAACTTTAGTTTTGTATGTGACAAACTAATATGAACTACAATTTAAAGGTTTCATTATAATGATTTAATCATTGTAGGTTTACATTGCTAGGTTGGGTTATCAAATTGTTCTAATTAAATTATATTTGTCATAGAAAAAAGTTTAAAACCACAAACCTTGAATAAAATAAATATTATAACGATCTTTATATGATTATCTATTGGATCACAAAAAACTAAATGTAGTGATGAGTACATCCATCAAAAATTTTATTATACATATATAATTTTGATTAAAATAATAAAAATTAAAGAATAAATAAGTATATTCTAGTCAACCGTTAGAATTAAAATAAAAAAAATAAAAAAATATAAGACATATACTTTAGAGTTAGATGATGTCTCAATTGATTTTTTAACAAATGCAACAACATAAGAAACAAAGAAAATATTTAGGATTTTAGATTTTGGATATGGTGAATGAGAATGAAACAATGATTATTTATATAATAAAAAGTTAAGAAAATTGTCTAATATACATCTCGAATGAATAAAATTTGTCTAAGCCTTAATTCTAAAATTAATTCTAAAATTATTTAGATATATATATTTATTTATTGAAAGAAATCTAGAATTTAAGAGTCCCTTATTATTTTAAATCACTTTGGATTTTTTTTTTTTTAATTATTGACGATCCAAAGACGAAAACACTAAATAATTGCAAGAAAACAAAAAGGAGAGTCATTTAAGTTTGATCGCACTTATGAGTGTTCCTTTCTCCTCTACTTTAAACACATGTGGGAACCAAATTCTTGGTAACCACTCAATTTGGCTCAAAAATTTCAAGTATCCAATAAAAAAACAGTTTCGTATATATTCTCGTGAGATTATTCAGTTCTTCCTAATATCTATCTATCTATCTATCTATATATAACTATCTATATATGTTACATATATATACTAATATTATATAAATACGCACTCTTCTTTCACCGACCTCCGACACCAAAAAGGTGTCAATTCCACTTGTTCACCATGAGATGCTTTAATGGCTTCTTCTTCTTTTGCAGCTTTCTTTATTTTCCTTAAATTATCTTTGTTTTAGGTGGGGGTTTTAAGTGATTTCATGACTCATTCATTCTCTGTATAAAACCTAGTGGAAAGTGTTAAATCAAAACCCTTTTTTCCCACTTTCTTAATTTAGAAGGGAGACAAACAAAATGGGAAGAGTTATGTTGGTGAAGTTTGGGTTTTTATTACTTGTGATCTCTTTTTGGTTTTTGTCTAATAACATTTTGGGACAACAACAAGATGGTGATGATAATGAGGATGATGATTCTGCTGTGTACATTGTCACACTTAAAGAACCTCCTATTGTTCATCTCTTTGAAGAACAAGAGCTTAAACAAATTAGACATCAACACAAAAAGTCTAAATTTACACCAAAATTGAAACCAAGGTACTGATAAATTTTTATTCTTTTTGTTGTTACTAGATTCTCTGTTTAGCTATAGTTAAACCCTTTTTGAATTTTTTTTTTTGTAGGAACAATTCAAGGAAACGTCATGGGAAGTCAAAGATACCATCTGTTGCTCAATCTCATGACTCTTTCTTGAGAAAGACATTGAGAGGAGAGAAGTATATAAAGCTTTATAGTTACCATTATCTAATCAATGGATTTGCTCTGTTTGTTAGCTCACAACAGGTAAAAATCTTGAGTTCTTGATCATTGTGGGAATATATAGTCTTGAGTTTTTGTGTTTTGATTTGTTTTATTAAGGCTGAGAAGCTGTCAATGAGAAGAGAAGTAGCAAACATAGTGTTGGATTACTCTGTTAGGACAGCAACAACTTATACTCCACAGTTTATGGGTTTACCACAAGGAGCATGGGTCAGAGAAGGTGGATATGAGATTGCTGGAGAAGGAGTTGTTATCGGGTTTATCGATACTGGGATCGATCCGAATCATCCTAGTTTCAATGACAATGACTCTAAGCGTTCATATCCAATCCCTAAGCATTTCTCAGGTGTTTGTGAAGTTACACCGGATTTTCCTTCAGGATCTTGCAATAAGAAGCTAATTGGAGCCAGACATTTCGCGCAATCCGCTGTTACCAGAGGAATATTTAACTTATCTGAAGAATACGCTTCTCCTTTCGATGGAGATGGACATGGAACGTAAGTGTAACTATTGAATATATCATATAAAAACAGAGTTTGAAACTTATAGATTGTTACTTTGGATATATATGTAGACACACAGCTTCAGTTGCAGCGGGTAACCACGGAGTTCCAGTGATAGTTTCTAACCATAACTTTGGATACGCTAGTGGAATCGCTCCTCGTGCATTGTAAGAAAACAAAACAAAACTTGAATCAATGGTAATATCTTCACAAATTAAACTAGCTTTAACTTTTATGTTTTCGAACTTTGTTTACAGTATTTCTGTTTACAAGGCATTGTATAAGAGTTTTGGAGGTTTTGCTGCAGATGTTGTTGCAGCTATAGATCAGGTTTGCAAATCAAGAAACTATGTGATTAAAGATGTTAGCTTTCTTTTTCAAATTTGAAGATATTATATATTTGTTGTGCATTTTTTAGGCAGCTCAAGATGGAGTAGATATATTAAGTCTATCAATTACACCGAATCGAAAACCTCCTGGTGTTGCCACTTTCTTTAATCCTATCGATATGGCATTACTTTCCGCTGTAAAAGCCGGAATTTTTGTAGTCCAAGCTGCGGGAAATACCGGTCCAGCGCCTAAAAGCATGTCTTCTTTTAGTCCTTGGATTTTCACAGTTGGTGCTTCTTCTCATGATAGAGTTTACTCCAATTCTTTAATTTTAGGAAACAATGTAACTATTCAAGGCATTGGATTCGCAAGTACGTCCTTACCATCTCAAACTATAACTTTCAATGTCGTCAAGATTTCGGATTTGTAACTTGTGTAATTTGTTTCTTTATAGTTCCTACGGATGATGGAAAGATGTACAAGATGATCTCTGCTTTTCATGCCTTGAACAAAAGTACTTCTGTAGATAGAGATATGTATGTAGGTGAATGTCAAGATTATGAAAACTACGATCAAGATCTTGTCTCGGGGAATCTTCTGATATGTAGCTACTCTGCTCGTTTTGTTCTCGGGCTTTCGACTATAAAACAAGCTTTAGATGTTGCCAAGAATCTATCCGCGATTGGCGTGGTATTCTATATAGACCCGTATGTTCTTGGTTTTGAGATCAATCCAACACCGATGGATATGCCTGGAATCATAATTCCATCTGTAGAAGATTCTAAGGTGAGAACATAAAAGCATTTGTTTAAAGGTTTATACACAGTTTCTAATGATCTAAAGATATGTTTTTATGCAGATTTTACTCAAGTACTATAACTCTTCTCTACAAAGAGATGGAACCACCAAAGAAATTGTTAGTTTTGGAGCGGTTGCCGCCATTGAAGGCGGTTTAAATGCTAACTTCAATAATAGAGCTCCCAAGGTAATGTATTACTCAGCAAGAG